CAGGATGACAGCGGGGTCACGTTCTCCCTCCACTCGGGTGAGTGATGGCTGTGGGCAGCAGTGGCTGGGGTGTCCCCCGGGACCTGCGCCCACCCTGGCTTTCCCCAGAGTAAGGGGGTGCAGCCGATCCTTGCCAGGCTGCCGTGTCCCTGCTGTTCCTGGGACAGCCATCGCGACTTGGGGCTGTGATGCTCTGGGCTTTGCTCGTTTCTGACTTGCGCTCTGGTGGAGAGGCCCTTTGAGCCACCTCCTGTGGTGGCTCGCCCTGAGCTTGGCAGGAAGCTTGTGCTGCTCTTCCCCCATGGGAAGAATTAATTCCCACTGGTTTGGGTTGGGGGTTCAGCTTGTTGACATCCTGCCTAGACCCAGTGCTGCATGGGATTTGGATCCCCTGGGAATGTCAGGTGGGGTGTGAGCAGTGTCCGAGCCATGTAGCCTCTCTTTACTCTTCTGTGAAGCTTCTGTTTTCTGTGTGAGCCTCGACCCCAAGACCAACACGCTGGCGGTGACGGGTGGGGAGGATGACAAGGCCTTTGTGTGGCGCGTGAGCGATGGAGAGCTCCTGTTCGAATGCTCAGGTGAGGTGCTGGAGGCTGTCTGGGTGAGCGGTTGTGTCCCCTCCCAGCCAGGTCTCTCTAGCCCTGCTCTTCCCCAGCCTATGCTCTGCTGGAGCCGGGCTCCTGACTGTCCTTTGTAGCTTAGCACGAGCAGTCTCCCACCATCTCTAGGACACAAGGACTCGGTCACCTGTGCTGGTTTCAGTCATGACTCCGTGTTTGTGGCCACGGGTGACATGTCTGGGCTTATCAAAGTGTGGCGCGTGGACACCAAGGAAGAAGTGTGGTCCTTCGAGGTGGGGGACTTGGAGGTGAGCGGTGGGACCCCTGCTGCCATGGGGAGCTTGTCAGCGGGCAGCCGAGACTCAGCTGGGTGGTGGGGAGGATGCCACCCTTGTGACACTGCCTGTGTCTCTCTCTGCCCAGTGGATGGAGTGGCACCCTCAAGCCCACGTCCTTCTGGCGGGCACGGCTGACGGCAACTCCTGGATGTGGAAGATTCCCAGCGGAGACTGCAAAACCTTCCAGGGCCCTGCGTGTCCGGCCACATGTGGCAGGATCCTGCCTGACGGTGAGGCATGGGGGCTGCCCCCTGTGGAATGTGGGGGTGGGGAATGTCACCAGCTCTGTGACAGATCCCACTACCACCATCTGCCCTCCTGCTTCTGCCAGTCTGTGCTGAACGGGAGGTGGAGGGGTGAGGGGAGCTCTGGCTCTAGCCACTGGCCGTGTCTCGCCCAGGGAAGCGAGCGGTGGTGGGGTATGAGGACGGGACTATGCGGATCTGGGACCTGAAGCAGGGAACCTCGCTGCACGTCCTGAAAGGTAGGGAAGAGGTTAATCACCTGGGGTGTTCCCTAAGTGGGGAATGGCCCTTTCCACTGGGTCTCTGATATCTGCCTGGGTGGAGAGGTGGCACACTCTGAGGCGGGGGGCTGACGGAGGGAGCCTGGTGCTGAGTTTCCCTGACCCCATGGGTGGCTGCTCCTTGCCACCGGGGTGCTGGCAGAGCCAGGCAAGGTGGAGGCTGCAGGAGGGTGGGTTTCGAGGCCTCTGCAGGGAGGACAGGTGGAGCTCATGCTTCTCCTGTTCATGCCCCAGGCCAGGATGGCCACCAGGACCCCTTGACGTGTGTGGCCAGCAACCAGGACGGCAGTTTGATCATGACGGGCTCTGTGGACCCGTGGGCCAAGCTGGTCAGCTCCGCCACGGGCAAGGTGGGTCCGTGTGGGTGGGGGCAGAGCCAGGAGCCCTGGGGGACGGGGGACGGGCCTCCCAAGTCCCTGTCCTGGGCCAGGCCCGTGTTCCCAGGTGGTTCAGGGCTCTGCCGGCTTCGAGCAGCCTGTTGTGGCCCCCGTCGGCCAGCAGGAGGCGCCCTTGGCCAACATAATTGCTTCCTCCCAGCTGCTGGTGGGACTGGTAGGTGGGTGGTCCCGCTCGAAAGAGGTTCCCTCCTTGTTTGCTCTGCAGAGCTGAGGTTTTGGGGTCGGGCCTTGGTGTCCAGGGGGTGTAGGCTCGATCCCGGGTAAGGAAGGGGACCTCGGTGCCTAGACCCTTGGGGACTAGTTGGCCTCCCTCCAC